CAAGAGCCGCGCTCCCTTTAAAGAGCATGCGGCTCTTGCGGGAGCGGGGGGGAAAGCTCTGAGATAATCTTGATTTATTGCTCAGATAAGCCTGGTCCGGCACGCTTCCCCATCGCGGGCCTCAGCATTCCAAAGGCACATTCCGATACTTCTGAGCATAGCAGAGTTGAGATCAACAGCGGCTAGAGGAAGCTGCAAAACACTCCAGTGCATTCTTCAGTGTGCTTAAATAAAGTCCACACAGGATCTTAGCAGCTAAAAGCAGTTTTATTTACAGCAGGCTATCCATTATCTATCACAGTGAACAGCATCGCGAAAACACGTCCTCTCTCCTCAAAAGCGAAAGTAGAGAGACAGAACAAAGACTTGAGTCTCTCGGAACTGACGTAGCATTTCCCTCCCACTAGTAGGCAGAGCGTACACTCTGAGCTGTTTAACCCTGTAAGCTCAGGTTTTCCTCACACCCCCTCTCGCTCTGCGCTACTGTGGGGACAGTAAGTACAGAAATTACCCCCAACTCCAAACCACCACAAAACTCCCCGTGACGCTGGAAGCTCAAAGGTTTGGTAAATCCATCGGCCAGGTTACTGTGACTGGCACAGTACTTCAGTCGTATCAAACCTGACTGAACACTCTGACACACATTTCGGAAACGTATGTCCAGATGCTTGGTTCTCGCCTTAAATTGCGCAGATTCAGCCAACTTCAAACAAGGCTGATTGTCTTCCCAAACCGTGATGGGCAAGCTACAATCCCCATAGATCTCTTGCACCAAGCATCTATAGAACTCTAGTTCCCGGCACAAATCTGACAATGCACTGAATTCAGCCTCAGTAGAAGACAGCGCAATGAGACTTTGCTTCCGGGACTTCCACCCAACTAGCGACTTCCCAAATTTTATCACCAACCCAGACACAGACTTGCGGTCCTGCAAATTCGCCCAGTCACTGTCCACATAGCATGTGAGCTTCGCCTCACCTTCAGCTGGCAGCTTAAGACAGAAGTCTTTGGTATGCTGCAGGTAGCGCAGTACCCGCTTGATACCGTGCCAAGCACTCACACTGGGCTTTGACGCTTCCCTACTTAGCAGGTTGGTAGCAAAGGCAATGTCTGGTCTGCTCCATTGGGACAGATACAACAGACTACCTAGAGCTGACTGAAAGAGCTCAGCATTCTCAAACTCAGCACTTTCTGCTTGCTGGCTATCTTTCACAAAGTTCATCTCCATGGGTGTCCGAACTCCTGCACAATCGGACATTCTGAACTTCTCCAGCAACTGCTCAATCTTGCCTTTCTGACTGAGCAAGAAGCTACCATCCTCAGTTCTCGCTATCTGGACGCCTAGGTAGATCTTTACTGCACCCAGGTTCTTGAGCTGAAACCGTTTCCCAAGCTCTTTGGCAAACTTCTGCACCTGTTTGTCTGCCTTTCCAACATGGATGATGTCATCAACATAAAACAACACCAGTTCTTGTGAGTCTCCTGATCCTCTAAGGAACAGGCAACTGTCAGCAAGACTCTTCCTGAAACCTAGCTTCTCCAAAGCTTCATTCAGGCACAAGTTCCAATTCCTGGCCGACTGCTTCAGGCCGTAAATTGACTTGTGAAGTTTCCACACAGTACCTCGCTCATTGTCCTCAAACCCTGGAGGAGGAAGCATGTACAGATCCTCCTGGAGGTCTGAGTTCAAGTAAGCAACATCCACATCAAAGTGATGCACCAGCAAACCTCTTTGTGCAGCGATGGCCAAGACCAAGCGTAGAGACTCACTCCTACACGTGGGCGCCTAAATCTCCGTATAATGCAACCCCTCTGCTGCGTGAATCCTCTCGCCACTAATCTGGCCTTATACTGCGGTTCTCCTGCCGCTGTGGGCTTAAGACGGTAAACCCAGCGACTACCCACTGCCTTTTCACCCACCGGCAACTTCGTGAGGGAGAACACACCTAGAGACTCCATTGAGTTCATCTCCTTCTGCATCGCCTCATGCCATTTCCTGGCTTCTTCTTGAGGCAGTTTCTGAACATCCTCAAAACTCTCGGGTTCACACTGTGCCATTCCGACCCACACACTAGTGACGGCAAACCTTTCAGGAGGTTTCCCTTGGTCGTCCGCGTTGAACGGCGCAGCACTAATTCAGGACCCCCCTCTGACCAATTAGGGCCAGCCAGAACTTCCTTGGCATCAGAGAGCTCCACCTCTGACTTACTGCTCCTTCTGGACTTCTCAGCCGAACCTGTGGGGGAAGATGGAGCACTGCGTTGCTCACTCTTCACAGCCTTGGGAGAAGTTCTCCCCTCTGCCTGCACTGGCTCTGGCCTCTGAGCCTCAGTAGCAGGTTCATCCTCTTCCTCTCCTTCATCAGCAGAATCTAGCAGACTCTCTGACAGGATGTCAGGGTTCCCATGTATCCTTGCCCAGCCACTCTGCTCACAGAATTCAGCACTGTTGCTGAGCAGAATCCTGGACTGATTCCCTGACGGATACGCAAACCTCCACCCCTTGGTCCCTGGCTCCATACCCACAAAAATCATCTTTTGGG